GGGGGGGGGGGGGGGGGGGCAGGGGGAGAAGGAAGAGGAGGGAGAGAGAGAGAGAGAGAGAGAGAGAGAGAGATCAGCAAATTCTTTTCCCCTGATAAATACTTGAAATTTTAGGTGCACCAAACTCAAATAGTAACTATGGCAACACAAGCCATTCCAATAAGAGGACAAGGATTATTTCCAGCACAATAGCCTGGCTTGTGCTCCAAAAGCAGAGGTAATGTTGGCTGAAAGCAATTCCTGAATTGAGGTTTAAAAAAAAATCTACCAGCATTTGAGGCTTTATGCTTAGGATTCTACTTCCAGGCCCTAGGACTAGATGGCAAGATGAACTGACTGCTGGGTCTCTAGCCTGCCTCTCCAAGAGAATGAGCGTGTCGCCTCATCCTCTTCTTAGTCACTCTCCAGCCTCAAAGCCGTCTAAACCTCAGGATTTGAAGAAATCTAAGAACATGGCTTGGGAAAATCACAAACCAGGCCAAGGCTCTTTGGGATCATGCCTCTGGGAACTCCAAGGGCAAAGAGGTGTGCTGACCCGGCCCATGGTTGAGGAAGAAGATATCTAACCTCATTTGTTTCTCAGATTGGGAAACTGCGACCCACAGAGACTAGGATGCTTGGCTACGGACACTCAGAATCAGATGGTCACATGGACCCTGTTGAAAGCCACCGGCTGCAGAGGAGAACAAGATAGCATCTGATACCATAGCAAAGCTCAGTGTGGCGCTGGCAAGATGGCTCCCTGGGTAGAAGCACTTGCTGAGCAATCCTGACAGCCTGGGTTTGATCCCTGGAAGCTGAGGTAGAAGGAGAGTCAGACCTCCCAAAAGCTCTTCTCTAACTTCCACGTTTGTGCAGTGGCATGCGTACTCTCATACTCACTCACACACCCACAGCGCGAGTTTCTTAGAGTCGCATGTGGAATCTAAAACCCTTTCAGTGGACTTTGTTTGGAATTTGTTGGGCTTTCTGGGGCTGGGGATGGAACCAGGGCCTTGTGTGAGCTAAGGACATACATACTCTTCCATTGAGCCACATTCCCAGTCCCTCAGTGAACTTTTCATACTCTATTACAGTACCTACTTATTGGCCATTTTATATGGACTTATTTCTTTACTTATGTATCATTTTCGACAGCACATATTCATTCATTCTTTGATGAATATTTGCTCACTGAGCTAAGCATATCATCCAAACAGTATCACATTTCATTATCTAATATCATATATACTAAGTTAATTGCCAATCTTATGAGATGGTTCTTCAAAAATGGGGATGATGTCTAGCTCACTGGAGGCAGATATTCTAATTTCCACTTGATAACTGTAATGGGATCTTTATAACAAATACCATGAGCTGTTTTCCTTGCCAGGCCCCTGTTAACTATCTCTTGGAAATCCTCTTCCAAATACCCAATCTAGAGAACTATAATCTTTATCAATGGATAATTGTTACTGGTAAAATTATTTACTATTGTCTCTCATAGTAATATAAAACAAGCACATATTAAGAGGTAAACTTATAATGAAGGAACCAAGCATATGTTAGCAGGCTCAAAGGACATGTTAAACAACCCCCCCCCGCCCGCCCCCCCCCCCCTTGCTAGGCTAGGAAAGAGACTTGGAGAATAAAGGTGCTTGCCAACGAACCTGATGACCTGAGTTTGACCCCAAGGATCCACATGGTGGGAAGTTGTCCTTTAACCTCCCTACACACACCATGGTATGTGTGTATTCTCTCTCTCTCTCTCTCTTTCTCTCTCTCTCTCTCTCTCAACGGAATTTTAAAAATTTAAGGTACAACTTTAAAAAGGGTGAAAGAATGTTTAAAGAAAAGTGTTAAGTGGGTAGAAAACTGGCTTTCCTCATTGGATGGGAAAAGATGACCTCCCACTAGGCAGAATTCATCTGCATATCTATAGGCAAGATTATTTTGTTTTATTTTTGAGCCAAGGTCTCATGTATCCCAGGCTAGTGTCAAACTCTCTTTGTGTAGCCATGGATGACCTTGAACATCCTGATCCTTCTGCCCCAATGCCAGAGTGCTCAGGTTATAAGCATGGACCACCATGCCTGGTTTATTTGGTGCTGGGGATCCAACCCAGGGCTTCATGTGTGCTAGTCAAGTGCTAATACCACTGAGCTACACTCCAGCCAACAAGATTATTTTGTATTGCTACAATTTGACAGAGTTGTTAAATAACTCCCACGGAATCAGAATCAGCTAAGGAGTGTGCACCAAACAATATCAAGTTTTGCTTTGAAGCACAAATACACCTTACAGTTTTATGCCACTCACTTTTTCATGCATTGCACGCACATGCACGCGTGCGCACTCACACACACACACACACACACACACACACACATCCCTTCAGTATGCTTCACAGGGCCTGGGCGGTGGTGGCACACGCCTTAAATCCCAGCACTTGGGAGGCAGAGGCAGGTGGACCTTTGTGAGTTCGAGGCCAGCCTGGTCTACAGATCCAGGACAGGCGCAAAGCTACACAGAGAAACCCTGTCTCAAAACAAAACAAAACAGGGCCTTTATATGTACTTCCCATTTAATAAAACAAAATATTGAAACAATGTGTGCACATGAAGGCTGACATTAATTGAATTAATCATTTGTACTGCCTGATCAAAGACACACAAATGAAAGGAGGTTTGCATTTGGCTTGGTTTGATTTTATCACGTTTGGCAAAGAAGAACATACTGGCTGCAGCCCTCATTTCAGGGATTCCACACCCATGGATTCAACTCATGGGGGATGGAAATATGTGTGTTGGGGGTTGGGGGGAACCTAACATCTGTACTGAATAGACACAGGCTTTTTCTTTGTCACTGGTCCCCAAATACAGTAGAACAACTGTTTACAAAACATTTGCATTGTGTTAGGATTTATATGGATCTAGATTTAGAATCAGATGTAAATACCATGCCATTCACTTTGAAGGGTTTGAGTACCCACATATTTGATGGGGGAAGGGGTAACTAAAATCAGTCCCCTGGGGACAGATAATAGGATGACAGCGCCACGGTCTGGTGCTACTTCTGGTTTCTGCTGTAGGAACAACTTTAACAAAAGCCTATACAGTGGGGGCTAGAAAGATCGCTCAGCACTTAAAATGCTTACTGCTCTTACAGAGGACCAGGATTTGGTTCCCATCACTGACATGGCAGCTCACAATCACCTGTAACTCTAGTTCCAGGGGATCTGACACCTTCTTCTGACCAGTGCATGTTCCTGCATGCATGTGGTGTACAGATATACACTTGGTTACATTTACATACACACAAAATACAATTAACTAAGGTTTTATAAAAGCCAATACAGTGAAATACAGAGGTCATGTAACTAAATGTGAGGTCATGAAATTTTTGCCAATAGTAAAAGTTTCCTAAACACATGACAAACACAGTTAATTCAAAATCAAACATACAAGGAACCGAGGTTTCCAGAAGTTCTTGTCCAGGTTGCACTATGGCTGATCTGTGGTTCTGAACACAGCATGGCTCTTCATGTCATGCGCGCCTTCGCACCATGTGACTACCGTGAATGCCATCCGAAACACCTAAATATCAAATTATTTATTTCTGTATTGTATTGCTAGAATGTTTGGCTTTATTTCTTTACTTTTGTCTTGGTGGGGTTTTTTTGTTTTTTGTTTTTGTTTTTGAGACAGGGTTTCTCTGTGTAGTTTTGGTGCCCATGTCCTGGATCTCGCTCTGTAGGCCTTGAACTCAAAAAGATCTGCCTGCCTCTGCCTCCCAAGTGCTGGAATTAAAGGTGTGCGCCACCACCACCCAGCTCGTTTTGGTTTTTTGAGAGAGGGTCTCACTGTGTTGCCCTGGATGACCTAGAACTTGCCCCCATGAACCAGGCTGAACTCAAACTGGAAGAAATCTGTCTGTCTCTGCCTCTTGAGTCACTGGGATTAAAAGCATGCACCACCATGCCCAGCTAGATTACTTGATTTTAAAAGTTAGTTTGAATTTCTGTCTCAAGCTCCATTAAAAAAATGGTTCAGTCAATTTTATTTTGGGATTAGGACAGAATTTCTAACAAAAACTAAACGTCCTTAAGCATGGTTGTGCCGTTTTGTACTATGCATCTCAGCAAAGCTGTGTTCTCAGCATTGATGATTATAAAATCAAAACATCAATCAACTCTGAAGACTGTTGAAGATGCCCTTCGTCCTGCAGCATCAAATACTCAGCCAAGATCTAATTCCTTATGTAAAAATAAGCACATCATCTCATTAGTATGCAAATTTGCTTTCATCTTTAATAAATGGTGAGATGCGACACACCAAAGAATTATTCTAAAACAGACTTCTTCATGATCTATAAATGTTTGATTCTTTTACCCATTTTATAAATCTATGTATTCAGGGTGACATAACAATTTCTCAGGCAGAATGGGCTATGAGTGGAGCCTGAAGGAAAGGCAAATCAAAACCATCATCTTACCCCAGAAAGAACGGCCATTACCAAAGGCAAACACAAACGCTGGTGAGGATGCAGAGAAAGGGGAGCTCATGGGTGGCTGGCAGAAGTGTACAGCCATGAGGGAAAATAGTGTGGAGGGAAAAAACCCTAATAACAGGAGCTGCAAGGGAGCTTGTGGGAGAGAGCTTACCATACGTGAAACCTGGGTTCAAGTCTCAGTAAAATGGAACTGTGGTATCATCCAGGACTTCCACTGCAGTGTGTACTTCCAGAAGAAAGGAAATTGGGATGTCCAAGAGAGTACACTTCCACTTTTATCTATTCCACTGCTATCCACAAAAGCCAGGAGAGGGACTCAACCTAGGTGTCCATGAACAGACAGAGAGTGAGGAAAATGGAATACACTGCACAAGGAATATTTTTTTTTAACTTTTTAATTGATTCTTTGGGAGTTTCACATCATGCACCCCAATTCTGCTCACCTCCTGGTCTCCCCATGTCCTCCTCTCATCCCCGCTGTGCCCCCTTAAAAAAGAAAACAAAACAAAGTAAGCAAGCAAACAAACAAAGACAAAACAACAACAACAACAACAAACCTCCTGCTTCCCTTTCTTTCTGGCCTCTCCAACACCTCATCATTAGTCCTGGTAGCACTGAGGGCCTCACACTGTCTACCCTTTTGTCCAATCAGCTTTACTGGCAACTGTTCATTGAATGAGTCACTGGTCTGGTTCAAGGCCTCTGGTTTCTGGTACACCATCATCTCTGGATCCTCACCGGAACTTCTCTGGGGTATCCCTTGGCTGCTTCGAGTCACGGAGATCTGTGGGTATTGTTCCACAGGACCAGTCCCTTCACAAGCTTCAGCAAGTCTTGGATGGGGTAGATGCTAGGGTGGGCCAACCCAAAGCCCGACTGCAGGCCTGGGTGGAAGCCAAGCTGGTCAGTCCGGGCCACTGGGGCCACCCACCTCAGGCAAGTGGGTGGAGTCAGCTCCCCTAGGTCCATGTCCTCAGGGTCAGTTCACCCTCACCTGTGGTGAGGGGTGGGCCATCTCTCCGGAGTGCAGGGACCAGCTCTTTTGTGGTAGTGTCCAGCAAGAGTCTAGGCCAGCTTTCCCAGGGCCAGCGAAGGGCAAGGCCTGCTCAGCATGGCCCTCTGATTTCATCTTGCATGGTTCCTAAGACCTCCTGAGGTGACACGGGCCACAGACATGAACACAGACCCCAGCTGCAGCTGGACCACAGACCCAGACATGGCCCTCGGTTATCAGCTTGGGCCAGGACGTCATCCTGGTTCTGGGTAAAAGAAATGGCCACCAGACACCACTGAGGCCTCAGGTTTCAGCCCCAACCCTGGGCTTTTATGTGACCTTTGGTGGAAATATGGGACCTGGACTTCAGCACAGACCCCAGCTGTGGTAGGACCATGGACCCAGACATGGTCCTCAGCAGCAGCTGGGTCTGGATGTTACCACTGCCCCAGGTGGCAGTGCAGGCCACTCAGATCGGCACAGGCCCCAGCAGCAGTGTGGCCTCAGACACCAACATAGCCCTCAATCTAAGGCGTCTGCATGGCCTTTGATGGTAACAGGAGCCTCGGACATCAGCACAGATGGAATATTATTCAGACCTAAGAAATGAACATCTGCCATTAACATGATGAGCCTGGAGAACGCTATTGTTAAGTTCAGTAAGCCAAACACAGAAGCACAAATGCCATGTTCTCACTCATACTGAAAGCTAAAAAGAATTTGGTCTCCTAGAAGTCTGAGAGTAGAACTGAGGTCAGGCAGGGAATGCAGCTCAGTGGTAGAGAGCTCACCTAACACTCTCAAGGTTCTGGGTTCATCACCAGTAATAAACAATAAAGGAAAGAAAAATGTAGGTAGAGCAGAGATAAACCAGGGGCTGGCAGAGGAAGAGGGAGAGAGAAAAGTTAAATAATGGGACATAATCAAAAGACAGAGATACGAGACATAAGCTCTAGTGTCCTAGAACACAGCAGAATGAGTGTAGTTAACCCCAGTGCAGTGTGTGAGAAAGAATTCTTGCCTTCTTCTGAAGACAGCCTCCCTTGAGAGGTATATTTCATATTCCCTACAACTGGAACTAAAGGAACATCTTTTTCTCTGAGGGTGCAGAGGCCCCGAGAAGTTAAGGGACAGGCCTGGCTCACTTCCCACCTCACCTCAGATCATGTCCCTCTGAGCCTGAGTGAGTCATCCCTCAGCTGACCTCATAGACTGCAATTCTTATTTTCCTCTGTTCTTCAAACCTAAGCCTAAAACACACAGGGTTAGCGGTCTCCTGGGTCTTATTTCTCAAGACTCTTGTGTCAGATAACACTTCTATTAAGTAAGTTTGTATGCTCTTGTTCTTGGTAGAATCGGTCTCTTTTGGAGGGCTCAGCCATAAGCCTAGTGATGGATAGGAAGGGACTTCTTCCCTCTTTTCCCAGTCCCACACAGAACAATATTACGTGTGTGTGTGTGTGTGTGTGTGTGTGTGTGATATTCAAAATGGATCCGTTAAAAAAAAATGGATCAGCATCTTAGTTATCTTCCACCTCAAAAGAAAAGAAAAGATTAACTGGATATGGTGGTACAAACTTGTTACTCACTGGGTGTGGTGGCGCACGCCTTTAATCCTAGCACTTGGGAGGCAGAGGCAGGCGGATCTCTGTGAGTTTGAGGTCAGCCTGGTCTACAGAGCGAATTCTGGGACAGGATCCAAAGTTACACAGAGAAACCCTTTCTCGGGAAAAAAAAAAAAAAACAGAAACAAAAACAAAAACAAAAACTTGCTACTCTAGCACTGAGGAGGTGGAAACAGAATAGGGAATTCAGGGCCATCCTTGGCTACATAGTGAGCTCAAGCTTAGCCTAGGCTATATGAGACCCTGTCTCAAAAATAAATAATATTAAAATCCACAAAAATAAAAAATTAAGACATTAAGACTATATGTTCTTATTAAATTAAAACTATAAGTTTTGATTATTTCCTTGTTGCTTTTCTGTCAGCTTAGCAGCTGCACCTGAATCTACTGGTATACTGATATTTTAACTACAGTCAGCACTCCCCACAGACCAGGATTTCTGGTCCCAGTGCACCAGCTCAGCCAAGGCTGCCAAATGTAGTTTTAACTAAGTCTCTACCATTCCATTTACCAATAAAGACTAGGCAGGGGCGGTGGTGGCGCACGCCTTTAATCCCAGCACTCGGGAGCAGAGGCAGGCGGATCTCTGTGAGTTCGAGGCCAGCCTGGTCTACAGAGTGAGTTCCAGGAAAGGCGCAAAGCTACACAGAGAAACCCTGTCTCGAAAAACCAAAAAAGACTAGGCAGTCAGATATTGGGGTGAAAACTTGCTAGCTCAGAGAAGCTGAGAAGTAACCACCTGACCCTTTTTGGCCGGAGATCCAGCAATAGAAGCGTCTCTCCACTGGTCCCAAACCAAGAAGACTACACATCTCTACTCTTCCCTGTGCATCTCTCTATCCATACTCCTGGCCCCTCTGTATTCTTTATGGCTAGTTCCTGTCAAATAGTCTCTGGCTCTGCCCCCTGAGCCAAGGTTAATTTTATTAACACAGTCTCAGAGTTTCACAGTTTGATCAAATTTTCCACAACACTTCCTCTTCCAAATTCCAAATTATTGTTTTCATATCTTTAAGTTCTTATTTTTTCAACAACTCAAGACACAGGTATTGCCTTCTAAAGGTTGTTTTCTCTGTTCATGTACTGATACTTTCTTTGGTCCTCATGCCTTCCACTGTGGACTCTCCTTCTACATAAGGTCCAGAATTTCACTGCTATGGAAACTGGAAAAGTGATTCAGCAGTCAAGAGCACTTGCTGGTTTTCCACTTATCTGTGTCCCCCAGTAAAGTTTATCTGAGGATCAGAGGGAAAAAGCCAGCCACTAAAGTAAACATAGAGGTCAGGCAATGGTAGCACACGCCTTTAATCCTACCACTTGGAAGGCAGAGATCTGTCTGGCTCTCTGTGAGTTCAAGGCCACACTGGGAACAAAGCCAGGCATGGTGGTACATATCTTTAATCCCAGCACTAACCATAAAGGTCTGGAGGTCTGTACAGACAGACAGGAAGTGACAGAGTTAGGCAGGAAGAGGAAGCAATGTAGCTGGGCCAGGACAGGAAGTGAGTTGGCAGACCAGAAAGGCATATAGGCATGGGTATACAGGAAGTAGGTCTCTTTGGAAGCTGCGGAGTTGGTGAGGTGAGGTTGGCTGTGGCTTTTCCTAGTCCTCTGATCTCTCAAGTTTTAACCCCGATATCTGGCTCTGGGTTTTTTTCATTAATAAGACCATTTAGCATTTCAACTACAAGAGGACAGTAGTGTGATTCTCAGCACCACTGAGAATATATGTATCAGGCACAACCATCTGAAACTACAGCTTCAGGGGGGTCAATGCCCTCTTCTGGCCACCATGGGCATGTGCACACACACACACACACACACACAAATACACACTCACACACATACATACACATACATACACACACACACACAAACCTTTTTTTTAAATCAGAATTTCACTAGTTATGAACTCTCTCAGGCTTCACCTGTAAATACTTTCATTTCCTCCATTTTTTTTTGAAAAATATTTTACTGCGTAGCCAATCCCAAGAGATTTCTTTTCTCTTGGCACATTTAAGATTTTTAATTGTTTCTACTATTGCTGACACAAAGACAAAGGTGTGGGGGTGGCCGAGGGGAGTGGTTGTCACCATTCTTTAAAGGTCTTCTGTCTTGCCCTGTTCTTCAGTTTCACTTGTAATATGTACAGGTATGCATTTTTGTTGTTGTTGTTTCTCTTATGTGAGACTCACTGGGTTTTCTGAGTGTGTAGAAAGATATTTTTCGTCAATATTGAAAAATTCTCAGCCACTATTTATATACATGTTAATTAGATCCTTTCATTCTGTCTTCCACATCTCCCAAACTCTCTTTTTTGCTTTCTATCTCTTTGTCTCTCTGCCTTATATTCTAATTTTTTCAGAATTTCACCCAAGTTACCAACTGTCTCCTTGACTACGTCTAATTAACTGTTGAATCTATATTTCATTTCTAGAAATTCTTTTTCTAAAATCTACCTTGTCATTTTCAAAGTGTCTTTACTTCCAACTTTATTTCCTATATTCTGCGACTGATGAGTCTACGATTTGTCATCTCTGTGAGTCTCAGTCTGCTGCCCCAACACTCCTATTGTCTTGCTTTTTTATGTATTATTATTCTTTCTCATCATGAGCTAACAGTTCTTTTTTTTTTAATTAAGAAATTTTCTATTCATTTTACATACCAACTTCAGAACCCCCTCTCTTCCCTCCTCCCACCCCCCAGCCTTCCCTCATACCCCCCCATTCCCTCCTACAAGAAGGTAAGGTCTCCCATGGGGAGTCAGCAGAGCCTGGTACATTCAGTTGAGGTAGATCCAAGCCCCTCCCCCTGCATCAAGGCTGCGCAAAGTGTCCCACCATAGGTGGACACCGAAAAGCCAATGAGCTAACATTTCTTAAACTTCTGTCATAACAAACTCCTGTAAGCCTGGAGGAGTCCAGTGAAGTTGGTTTTGTTGTGCTCCCTTGGATTACTGCCCATCTAACATGCATGAATTCATGTCTTCCTTGGGTCATCAAGAGATTTGACCTGTGGTTACAATTCTAATTCTCAAAGATTTCTTTGCGGGGGACCTCCATCTAGCCTAACTGTTTAAGATAGGCAATAATTTTCCGCAGAGAGGATTCTCATTCACCCTTACAGTAAATCACCTTTGCCCCAAACCATGACCATTTGAGATCAAAACTATAAGATAGGTTATATTAGATCCTTCCCTTGAGCAGAGTTTAAGATTTGGAGCCATAAAAACTCAAAGGTCAAAACTCACTAAGTTCAGAAAGTGTCTAAAAGGCAAAAGACAGCTTTACTTTTCTTAGTTTTTTACTTAGGAGGACTCCTTAATTTGCTGGCTCACGTGTATTTATCTATCATCTGTTTGTCTATCAGTCTGTCTGTCTATCTATCTGTCTGTCTGTCTATCTATCATCTATTTATCTATCTTGGCTTTTTGAGACAGGGTTTCTCTGTGTAGCCCTGGCTGTCCTGGAACTCATTCTGTAAACTAGGCTGGTCTTGAACTCAGAGATCCACTTGCCTCTGCCTCTTGAGTGCCAGGATTAAAGGCATGTGCCACCACCACCTGGCTCATGTGTATTTTTTTTTTAATGGAGGTAGTGTTTTGGTTGTTTTGTACATGAGATAGAGAGAGATGCATACATACACATATGTGCACATGCAGAGGACAAAGGAGGGAGTCCGGCATCTTCCTCCATAGCTCGCCACCTATTCCTGGGAGGCAGAGTCTCTCCTGAATCTGGAGCTCCCTTTTTTTTTTTTTTTTTCCAGCTAGGCTGGCAGCTATCAAGGCCCAGCAATGCTCCTGCCCCTATACCCAGTGCTAGGGTTACAGGCTTGTTACACAGGTGCTTGGGTCCAAACGTGGGCCTTTGTGCTTGAGCAGCAAGTGTTCTTAACTGCTGAGACATCTCTCCAGCTCCTGAACGTGGCTGTTAAATACGAGTCAGCATGCTTAGCTGCTTGCAGCAGGAAGGTCAGTAAGGGGACCTATTCTGGCATGCTGCCAGAACACAAATCCACACAAAAGCATCCACCATGTGAATAATAAAGGGATTAACATGGCCTTCTTATACACAACAGGACAAAAGGAGGGCGGTGAGACTGGAACTACAGCCTAAGCTGTGGGCACACCTGAGCAGCTCAGCAGGGACTGTGCAGTGAGGAGCACTGACTGCCATTCTGCATCTGAACTTGATCCAGCAAGTAATGAAGGAACTTCCAAATTTGGACAATGATTCATGGTTTTTCACATTAACATTTCAGTAGTTTATTGTGGCTTCTTTTTTCCCCTTTTCTCATTTTCCATATGTGTGTATGATGCGTATGATGTGTATTTTGTATGTGGATTTTTGCACATGTATGTATGTGAAAAGCCCAAGATTGAAATCAGGAACCATCCTCCATCACTCTTTCTCCTTAATCCTTGAGGCAGGATCTCAGTCAAACCAGAGCTCACAATGTGGCTAGTCTTATGAGACAGCTTGCTCTGGGAGTCCCTGTCTGCCTTTGGAAGCTAGAACTATAGGCAGATGGCATGCCCACCCAGCATTTACATAAGTTTGGGGGATTTGAACCCCAATCCTCATGCTTGCACAGCAAGTGCTTTATCCCCTGAGCCACCCCTTCATCCTAAGTTTCCTTTTAAATAGTATTTCTCAAAATGTGGTCAAGCTCTGCCTACATGAACATCCTCTAAGTGACCCATCAAAACTTGCAGATTCAAGCCATACCCCCACAACACCAAACTGGTATCCCCAGGGAGGGAAATAGGGAGAAAAAATTTCCAGAATGTAGTAATTTGAATTTTAACCAGCTTGCAAGCAAACATTATGCACAATAACTTAGAATCTATGCATCAGAGTGAAGCTTTCCAAACAGTTGAGACCACCAGTGGGTTGGGAAATCCATTTTTTTTTTCTGGAGCTGAGGTCCAAACCCAGGGCCTTGTGCTTGCTAGGCAAGCGCTCTACCACTGAGCTAAATCCCCAACCCCTGGGGAATCCATTTTTATGAATTAGAGTAAAGTCAAAACTCTAAAGGATAAAGACAGCTGAATGAAGCCTTGTTAAGGTAGGAAAGTGTATGTGCATGTGCAAGTGTGTGCATATGTGTGTGTGTGTGTTTTGTGTGTGTTTGTATGTGTGTGTGCATGTGCAAGTGTATGTATGTTTTGTGTGTGTGTGTTTGTATGTGTGTGTGTGTGTGTGTGTGTGTGTGTGTGCACATGCATTCTAAACTGTGTTTTCTATACTGAGTTTTAAAAAGTTAGACAGGCCCTGCCTTAAAGGATGTCTCTCCATTATTTCAATCAGATCCTACCCATAACTTAAAAAACGGGGGGGGGGGGGGGGGGGATCCAGTGTAATTGGCTGAATGGATCGAATTCCCACAACAATCTAAAGCATATCTATGTGTGTGCATGTACCAGTTCATTCTGGCACTCCCTGACTCCAGGTAGAGTGAGCAAATGAAGCATCCATCTGAGTGTGTGTGGCTGGGAACATGCTGTTAATCGCCACCTCCCCAGGGATGCTTCCTGGTTTTTGTCAAGATAGCACAAAGCCTGTGTTCCAGATATCATTACATCTCAGCAGCTTTGTACCAAAGGAAAAGGAGGACCACAAAGTTCTGGCAAAGTGCTCTGTGTAAGATTCTGTCGTACCGAGTTTTGCTCCCACAAGTAGGTTGTAGGTTGCCACTGGAGTACTTTGGCATGTGTGGGAATCTTCCTTCCTTGTCCTGATGCTTGCTGCAGTCAAATGTTTCTGCAGTCTTTTCTTAAAAAAAAAAAAAGAAAGAAAGAAAGAAAAAGAGAAAAAAGGAAAGATGAACAGATCTACTCAGTCGAACATCAATACCAAATACACACGCAAGCACACGCCATACACATGGAAATACACAGACACACATGTGTGTATACACACACATAGACACATATGCATGGGCACATACACACACACATGGAAATACACACATACAGTCACACATGTATGTATAAACACATGTAGACACATGCACACACATATACACATATACATGCACATACAAACATTAGTTATCTTCAATATTCCTTACAAATTTTAATCATTCATGTCACACCTTGTATTTCTAATTCCCACAAACTTCTGATCAATTCTTTATCTTTTTCATATTGTACTTATTATTATTGTGTGTGTACAACATGTGTTTGAATGTGCTTGTACCATGTCATGTGCATGGATGTCAGAGGACAACTTCCTGAAGTGGGTCTCTCCTTCCACATTAACATGGGTTCTTGGGGTCAAACTTGGTCATCAGGCTTGTGTAGCAAGTGACTTTACCAGCTAAGTTGTCTCCTCAGCCCATTTACCTCTTTCCCATAAGCTGAGTGGCACAAATAAAGTTTTCAAAAGGAATACTTTATGCCATCCCTATAAATTGAAAACTAGTATCACTTGGGGAAAAAGGGCATCTGTAAAAATAAATGTGAGGAGAGAGAAACATGATCACACTCAGGTTCAATTCTGTTGCCGACTGAGCAACCTCTGAAATTGAATGAAATCTGTTCTCATTGTTCAAAACCATTCAGACAGAGGAAGACTTGGGTGTTTCTTTTTAAAGACCAGTTGGAGTGGAGAATGTCAGCAGAGGGGAGCTTGGGGAAGAAAGCACTTACCACAGCAACCTCCTCTTCTCTCTTAGACCTTCAACTGACCAGGTGGTCTAAGATTTAGCGACTTTTATGTTAGCATCTCAGACTTGGGGGAGACAAAGGTAGAAATCTGTGTGAGTATGAGAGCCCCCTCCAAAGCTTCTTACAATCCAGATGGCTGCGCCTTGTCTCCAGAGTGGCTACCTCGGTAGGCAAAGCCTGGGAGTCTGTGTTTCTATCTAGCAAGTTCCCATAAGGAGCTGGTGCTGTTGCTGCAGGCCACTCTCTGAGAGCCACTGAATACATCAATCCTGTCCATCTCTCTCCCAGACCCTCCTCAGGAAGTCTCAACTTCTCGGCTCCCCACGCAGCCTCCTTTGCTCTCTGCCCTCCTTAATCTTCTCATCTAGTAAGAACACCCCTCTCACTGTTTCCACCCAAAGGGAACATCTTATTTTTCCTCACTCCACAAAGACCATGCTTTGAAACACTTTCTATCGAACAAAATACATTTATTAGCTGATAACGAATTCACTTTCTCATGTTTTATTAATCAAAGACTGCCAATCAGAGCTTCCAGTCAGCATGGGGTAACTGGTGTTTCTATACTGAGTTGATATAATTCTAGCCCCCAAGCAAAGAAACCCGATGTTTTGGTTTAATTAGCCGGAGCATGTCATCCCTGGTAAATAGGCACTGCTGGGTTTAGTCTGTTTTGAAGCCTGGAAAGAGCACATAGGTCTCCTCTCCTCCCGCCCCATCACTGCTCTCTGGGACCCCGGGGAGCCTAAGGTGCTCAGATTGGGACCACCTCATAGATATCACTCCTGCGGTGATTAATCACTCGTCTTCTGTCATTTCTTCTACTGTTGTCCCAAAAGAGCACAAAGGGAGTATATTGACCTTTGCTTTTAAACTGTGTAATACCTCACTTGGGACTATAGAATAGCAACAGCTGAAAAAAAATTACAAAGGCAGGACCAAACTACTGATTTAGATTATATGTTTGACTTTGGGACATTTGCATCCAGAGAAGAACAACTCGATTTAAGTTCCTCTGCTGTAAAACAGTCCTGCGCTGGAGAAAGTAAATCTTCAGTCAGCAAAAACCACGCACCTTCTAGGATTGTTACAGACTTGAAAATAACCACTTGCCTGGGGAAATAACTAAGATGTAATTCCAGATGACAACTGTGCTTGGTACTTCTAGAAGAAGGATGGTAAAGGAGACCAATTGACATGAGCCCAACTTATTCAGAAGCCAGACAAACAGTCTTTGGATAATGCGAAGATCTTAATGAATCCAATCTGCTTTCCTCAAGGGATGACTTCGACAATTCTATTTAAAACTCCTGTGCTGGTGTGAATAAAGAAATCTCCATATAGGCTCAAGCATTTAACCGTTGGTCCCCAACTGGTGGTGCTGCTTGGAGAGGTCATATATAGGAAGGTACAGCCTTGCTAGAGGAAGTATGTCACCAGGGGCAGGCTTTGAGAGTTTAAAGCCTCACCCCACTTCCAGTTCCCTTTCTGCCTCATGTTTGTGTCTGAAGACGTGAGTTCTCCGCTTTGTAATCCTGCAGCCAGGCCTATAGCTTGCTACCCTGCTTCCCCACCATGGTGAACTCTTATCCCTCAGGGATTATAAGACAAAATAAACTCTTCCAGAAGATGTATTTAGTCATGATATTTTATCACAGCAATAAAAAACAGCTAACACAACTCCTGTCTCCCAGAAGCCAAGAAGTGGTGGTTGCCACCACACAAACCGACTTGATTCTAGCCACACTTTATCCTAAACTCCCCTGGCAATATAGTGCATGGCATTGCTATTGAAATTTCAAAATTGTTTCCTGCAGCCCATGACAGTGTCCTAAAACTTGACTTTTATAGAGTAATTTCTTTATATGATGGCCTTGCACATACTAGACATCTTGAAAATGTGAAAGGCCAATGACAGCAGGCTTTTATCTCTCAATTTCTTCATGTGTCTTCCTGCCCTACACTGGTGAGAAGAACACTTCAATAATATTACTAACTCTGCCTCAAAGATTTCACCAAAGAAATCCCAGGAAATTCTTCTGACTATTGATGACTCTGAGGGTAAGAAATGCAAAAAGCAAGATTTGGGAGGTTGTTTTACTTGTTCTAAAGAGTTATTAGATTTTACTAATTATGCAGCTTATCAACGTAGACGATCTTATGGGTGCCATGTGGTGATCTGCCCCACCATTTGTGCCTGATTAAAGGACGTACATTGAACCTGAGAAGCCCTTCTTCTAATCAGGTTCCTGCTCTGGCCTGTTGCTACGGCAACTTAGGGTTCCAGCCAGGAAGACAGCAAACGTATTACACACTGCTCCATCTATGTTCTCTCTCCTTTAATGCCCTCAGAGCCAGTCCGTGCTTCATACTGTACATATTCAAAATGTTATGCCTGTGACCCTCCTTTTTCCTCCAATGTGGAAACCAATTGTATTTACATTTTCTACCATCATGTCCTCCATGTATCAAGAACTACAAAAAAAAAAAAAATCTTATGGGGTTTAGTTACAGTTGGTGGGTTGGATGGACCACGCACATCTTTTCCTTTCTCTTCCTAAGACCCTACTTAAATTATGATCAAGAGATTAAAAAGAAAACCAGGCAGTGGTGGAGCATGCCTTTAACCTCAGTACTCTGAGGCAGAGGCAGGCAGATCTTTGAGTCTGAGCCTAGCCTGGTTCCTAATGAGTTCCAGGACAGCCAGGGCTACACAGAGAAAGCCTATCTTGAAAAACAAAACAAAACTAAAGAAATTAAAAGGGGATATGTTCACATGGACCTGGAAGTGAAAAGTACTGTCACGGTGAACCTGAGATTTTCATTCCCTCCAATCTTTGCTCCTTTCTTATGACACAAATTATGCATAATACTACATTTGCCATTTTAGGGCTGAGGGCATAGCTTAGTTACAGACTGCTGAGCTAGCAAGTGCAAGGCCCTTGAGTTTAATCCCAAGGACTGTAGAGACAGGAAGAGAGGGGACAGGAGAGAGAGAGAGAGAGAGAGAGAGAGAGAGAGAGAGAGAGAGAGAGAGAGAGAGAGAGAAGCTGTGAAGCCATTTTAGATGTTCAGTTCACTGGCAAGATATACATTCCCATAATGTGCAAGGACCCTTAGCAACCTTCTCAAGAACTTTCATGGTCCCAAATTGAAAATCTGTCCCCATGAAGCACTAACTCCCAGTCTTCTCCTTCCCCAGTCCATAACAACTGCCATGTACTTTCTGTCTCTGTATTTTGCTGCTGTTGATATCTCATGTAAGGGAAATCATACTGAACACATATTCAGCCATTTTGTATATGGTTTCTTTCATTTGCCATCCTCATGGTTGAGCTATGTAGTGGACTATACCAATATTTTATTCTTTCTTCAGGCTGGAAATATTCCATTGTGTGTATACACCACAGATACAGAACAAGCTAACAAGACTGCCTACCAAAACCCAATAGCAGGGACCCCTACTTCATAAGGGGTCAGAGCTTCTGTGATGGCTTGTACTGAATGTCAACTTCAGAGGATCTAGAATCACCATGGAGACAAATCTCTGAACATGTCTATGAAGAGGTTTGTAAACTGGGTTAATTGTGGTTGGAGAATTCACTTTAAATGAGGGTGACACCATTCCAAGAGCTAGGAACCCTGGACCATACAGAAGGAGGGACTGGACTGAGTGTTAGCATCCACCTCCTGACAAAGGACCATGGTGTGCCCATTCCCAGTTGATACATCAATAGCACAACCCCTACACCAATAGCTGAGGGAACATCTTGGAAGAGGAGATGAAAAGATTGTGAGAGCCAGAGGACCAGTACATCTTCAGTGAGATCATGTCTTCTCTAAACGACAGGGAAGCTGCACCCATGAGATCTCAACAGTGTGGCTGCCTAAACAAGATCTGAACAACAACAACACTGGTTGACACACCAATGTGGATGGGGGAAATCACACAAAGCTCCATTCTTAGAAGAACTACAGGCAATTAATGACTACAGAGAGAGGGAGAATCAGTCTTCCCCAGGGATGAGACTCACAATGGGCTACCCAATACCAAGCGGTCAGCCCTAAAAGCACATATATACAAGCAACACTACATGAACTCTG